ATGATAGCCCCCCTTGTGCTTCCTGGTCTGTGTCATCTTGTTAGTAGTAGGTGTCAGTATTCATGCCTGTCAGTCTCTTTGGGTTATTCTCTGCTTTTACTTTGAAGGATGTTTTCTCCTGTGCCCTGTGTCAGCATTGTTTCCTGTCTGTCTTCTTTTGAGTCCTCATTATTCTCACCTGTTGTCAGTTGTGTTCACCTGTGCCCCCCACCCCCACGTAGCTCTGCCTGTCTTTGTGACATAACCTGCTTTGGCTGTTTAGCATTAGTGAAACTTCCTGTTCTGATCCTAGTGCAGTCTCTATCGCGATCTTCTGCTCTCACCCCCTTTTTTCAGATTTTGAGTTTTTTGCATTGCACTTTTTAAAAGTGAATTTCAGCGGGCTTTTTGTTTGTGAACTCCATTGTACACGAAGCACCACCTACAAGTGAGACTGGTTTCAATGGTACTGAATAGATGCAAAAACATCACCTCAATAGGCAAAAACAGATGTGATTGGTGGCCAAGCCAGACATGCAACCAGCTGTTTCTTTCTTACATAATTCTTGCATATTTTGGATCTGTGCTGATTGACCTGTTGTACGAGGAAGCTGGCTCCCGACAAGAGCGATCCTAAACGTCTGTCAGCTAAATCCATTTTAATCTGCACAAATCTTATATTTACCTCCACATCATACCCCAAACCAGAACATTTCCTCCATGAGGCTTGACAGATTTGTTCTGTTTTACACAAATTTTCTTCTTTTTAATCCAAAGATATTTGGACATCTGTAGCAATTTTGCAGCTCGAGGTTTGTGGGAAACATTTGATAAAGGGAGACAATGAGGTGTTTGTGTCTCTGTCAGGAGACTCTTTGTATTCTTGCTCAGTCCTGCAAGTTTCCAGCATTGAATGTTCTTCCTTTGTTAGAATAGCCTTTGGCCTTTTTAATGAAAACAAAATTGCGTAAAAATGTAACTGTCATTTAAAAGTCATTAATGATTGATTGATAACGTTTTATTGCTTATTGCTTGTCATTTGCAACATTTCTGGTACAATTTATACTATTTTATTTCAAAACAAATATGCAGTTCATTCAAACTTGTAGATGTCACAGGTGACCCTAAACTTTTGTGCAGCAGTGTGTGCGCTGCCTCAGAGTGTGAAACTGTCTTCGTCTCATCTCTTTCAGGTTTTTGCGTGAATATCACAGAAGCTGTCACCATCGCATTCTGCTGCTTCGTTCTCCTCGTGCTAGCAGTGGGTTCAGCCTGCGTGTACAAGATGTTTGAAAACAAGCAAGGTGTGTGTGAGAACCAGGAATCCACTGATTGGTACACACGCAGGAATTCCTATTAAAACTTCTTGTCTTCTTGTCATCTTATCTGTTGTTCCAGCTCATACCAACAGTGTTCCAGCAAAGTAAGTTTTACACCTGAAACACTCCAACTATAACTAAGTGTGATCATCTTATATTTACATAACACTTTAAAGCCTGAAAAATGAAATAATGCAAGAAAATTCTTTTTTTTAATGGAGTATTTAGCGAACTTTCTGATGAAGTAAAAAAAATAAAAATTAAATACTAATTTGCATATAAAAGTTGTAGTTTGTATCATATTTGCTACATGTGGTATTGTTCTGCAGTTTATTCCTTAAAAATGTATCATGCAATTCATTGCAGTGTATTTGGGGGGGGGGGGGGGCAGATAATAATAACAAATATTTTTATTTATTGTTTTATTCATGAAACACTGTAAAGAAAGAATTTACATGACAACCCAGCAGCTAAATTGATTAAGTAAAAATAAGTAAAAATCTGGAAAGAGAATAACAAAAAAAGACAGAAAACACAAATGATGAAACAGAAAATAATAAAAACAGCTGAAATACAGTAACCTTACATTGAAATACTGAGACATAATCACATTAAAGCAAGTTTGTATGCTTTAAAAAAT